CCGAAAAACTGCGTTTTTGGCGTTTTTTTGACCCCCCCTTGTCCCTAAACCCTAAACCCTAAACCCTAAACCCTAAACCCTAATTTCCTCGAAAACTGCGTTTTTTCGGCTTTTTCTGGCTCCCGCTTGTCCTGAAACCCTAAACCCTAAACCCTAATTTGTTGAGAGGTCGTGCTTTTTGCTATGTTTTGACCTCCGCCTGTCCTTAAACCCTAAACCCTAAACCCTAAACCCTAGTTTCTTGAAAAGTTGCATTTTTTGCCGTTTTAAGGCCCTCACTTGTCTCTTTTCCCCTCCAATTATTTCTTCTCATTTTACTTCTATTTCTGCTGCTGCTGCTGCTGCTGCTGCTGCCTTCTCCATTGCTGCTGCTGCTGCCTTCTCCATTGCTGCTGCTGCTGCTGCTGCCACCTTCTCCACTGCTGCTGCTGCTGCTGCCACCTTCTGCACTGCCACTGCTGCTGCTGCTGCCACCTTCCCCACTGCACTGCTGCTGCTGCTGCTGCTGCCACCTTCCCCACTGCTGCTGCTGCTGCTGCTGCTGCTGCTGCTGCTGCTGCTGCAGGGTTTTTCGAGTTTGTGGGGTTTGCGGGAGCGGCTGCTGGGGCTGTGTGGGGTTTGCTGCTTGAAAGTGGACATCGGAGCTGTCTATACACTCCCGCTGCAGCAAAAAGACTCCAAAACCCTTTTTTCCAAAACCCTTTTTCAGGGTTTGTTCAAAACCCTCCAAAAGGAAATTGTCTTCGACATCGACATGAACGACTACGACCCCATCCGCACCTGCTGCGCCAGCAAAACCCTCTGCAGCAAGTGCTGGTCAGGGTTTAGGGTTTAGGGTTTAGGGTTTACGGTTAGGGTTTAGGGTTTAGGGTTTAGGGTTTGGCGTTCAGGGCAGTGACCAGCAAGCGAAGAAGATAAACCTTAGGGGGAAAACACAACACCCTGCTATCGAGTGAGTTTATCCTTGCTGCTGCTGCTGCTGCTGCTGCTGCTTCTGCTTCTACTTAGGGTTTAGGGTTTAGGGTTTAGGGTTTAGGGTTTAGGGTTTGTTGTGCTTTTCGCTGCAGCCGCGCATTTCGCATTGCCTACAGAGACTTTCACCAGCTGCTGCAGGAGCAGGATTTCTTCTTTGGGGGAGGCAGCAGCAAAATGGCAGAGAGCCTGCTTGAGTATCTCCCTAACAGCAGCAGCAGCAGCAGCAGCAGCAGCAGCAGCAGCAGCAGCAGCAGCAGCAGCAGCAGCAGCGGGTACGGCAGCGGGTACGGCAGCGGGTACGGCGGCGCTTCGCGCGGCTACAGCACTGCAGCAAAGTCGCGCGGCGCAGCAACAGCAGCAGCAGCAACAGCAGCAGCAGCAGCAGCAGCAGCAGCAGCAGCAGATATGCAGCAGCAAGTTGCTGCTTGGATTGAAGAAATTAAATCTGAACCCGAAGACCCCAAGAAGACAAAAAGCACAAAACTCTTTGAGCGGCTGTGCAAACTCGCCAACTGCCAAACACCTGCTGCTGCTGCTGCTGCTGCTGCTGCTGCTGCTGGGGGAGCAGCAGCAGCAGCAGCAGCAGCAAAGGAAGCCGATGCCTTCCCCAATTTCATAAAAGAAATTGTGCTGGCGTTTTCTTACCCGAGGCTCGATATCAATGTCAGGTCAGTGCACTCGCTCCAAACCCTAAACCCTAAACCCTAAACCCTAAACCCTAAGGCCTCAGCATTCGCTTGAGCGGCACACGCCGAAACCCTAAACCCTAAACCCTAAACCCTAATCACGCAAAGAGTAGGCGCACTGCGGCGGGCAGGCTCGAAGTTCAGTGCTACAGAGCTAGGATTAGGGTTTAGGGTTTAGGGTTTAGGGTTTAGGGTTTGGGGTTTAGGGTTTAAGGCCTTCTGCTTTTATGAGGCTGCAGTAAGGACATGGGGCATCTTCTCAAGGCTCCTTTCTGCATACATCACGCCACTGGTGAGCTTTACAAGGGTTTAGGGTTTAGGGTTTAGGGTTTAGGGTTTAGGGTTTGGGGTTTAAGGCTAAGGGTTTAGGGTTTAGCATTTCGAGCTGCTATTTTCCCGAGCCTCATGGGGGCATATTTTGGACTCAGCAGCATGCGCTGCTGCTTTTGCTGCACTTGCTGCTGCTGCTGCTGCTGCTGCTGTTGCTGCTGCTGCTGCTGCTGCTGCTGCTGTTGCTGCTGCTGCAGGGCGTGTTTGTGTGCCCATTGATTTGGCTGAGTTGGACGATTTTGACCCTCAGCGAGTTCCAACGCTCAGTAAACCCTAAACCCTCATAAACCCAAACCCTCATAAACCCTAAACCCTCATAAACCCTAAACCCTCATAAACCCAAACCCTCATAAACCCTAAACCCTCATAAACCCTAAACCCTCATAAACCCTAAACCCTCATAAACCCTAAACCCTCATAAACCCGAGACCCTAATAAATCCTAGTCGCTAAACCCTGGTAAAGCCTGCGCCTTTGTAAAGACTTGATCCTCGTAAACCCTAAACCCTCATAAACTCTGAACCCTCGTAAACCCTAAACCCTCAAAAACCCTAAACCCTCAAAAACCCTAAACCCTCGCGAACTCTTTACCCTATTAAGCACAAAGCCCTAGTAAACCCTAAACGCCCATTCATGCGCTAAACCCTAAACCCTCGTATGCCGTAAACCCTAGCCGTAGACCCTGAACTCTGACAAACCCTAAACCCTGACAAACCCTAAACCCTCGCAAACCCTAAACCCTCGCAAACCCTAAACCCTCGCAAACCCCAACCTGCCGCTCCGCCTTTCCCCGCTGCGTTTTTCAATTCTTTTCTTTTTCACAATTTGCATTTGTAGTTTTATTATTTATTTATTATTTATTTATTTATTTATTTATTTATTTATTTAA